GTTCCCCAGCCCACTATACTCACTTCCTTCTCCAACAGCGGTTCCCCAGCCCACTATACTCCGAGACCACCCCCTCCCAAGTGGTGGCCCCAGTCCACTCACATCCTTCTCGAAGACCAGCAGCAGGATTGCCATGGCCAACTCCACAAGCATCAGCAGGAACAGCAGGATGAAGAACTGCAGGCAAACAATTAAATAATTAAACTGGTTACAATTGCAGACAGCTGAGCTACACTCACAGGGAGCTCACAGGCCCAGGATGAGTGGGAACAGAGGATTGCACTTGGGCCAGCACTTGGCTCCGTATTGATTCTGCATGTGCCAGGGTGAAGTTTAATTCCCCCACTCAAATCCTGTCGGTACTCACCGAGATGAGCAGGCAGCGGTTCTCCTTCAGGGCTCCCAGGAACCCCAAGAAGGAGACGCAGGTGACGATGGTGCCAGTGATGACTAGTGTGTTCGCAATGTTGATGGAGGGCAGCGAGGGCACCAGAGTGGAGAACTTAGAGCTCATCATGAGGTAGATCCCAAACCCCAGCACGAAGCTGCCACACAACTGGAGACACACAACAGTTGCACACAGGTTACAGGCCTGGGCTGCTGGGCTAACAGCAGTGTCAGGGATCAGGGGTTAAACCCTCATGGCAAGAGAGACACACACAGGTTACAGGTCTGGGCCACTGTGTGAGCAGGGGGGTTGGGGGTCAGGGGTGAAACTCTCAGGCCACACACAGTGAAGGGCCAGTGAAGTTCTATTAGACATGAACAGTACAGTACACTTGTGCCACATTTAGTGGTGAACCTCCAGGCAGAGGTGAAGTGTAAACCAACTACAACGTGTCTTCAACTGGACAGTAGTCTCTCTTTTAAAAAACAAATTACACACACTCATATTCCAACCATTGTTAATCACACACAGAGAGAAGTGCTGAAGCCTCTCTTTTTTGTGGAAGATGTCCTGTCAACTCAACAGACACAAAGACTAAATGAAATGTTGCCCAAATACGACAGCTTACCCAGCACAAGAAATTGAAGGCACACAGAGTGTACTTCAGGCAGTTCAGGCAACGCTGGGTCATTTTTCCTCAGCAGCTCTCCCCCTGTGAGAAAAAGAGGCAGGTTGAGCAGAGACAGTGAGGCTGGGTGGCCCACTCTGCTGGTGCGCAGCAGTGTGCAGGAGGCTGGCGTGTAGCAGTGTGGGCGCTGTGGGCGTTGTCTCTGGCAGCAGGCTGCTCCTGTGTGCGTTCTCCTACTGTCGGTAGAGCTCAAGGGGTCTTGCGCTCTGCAGGCATTGAGCAGTGAGGTGTTTCAAACGCTTGCAGGGTGTTAGAGGTGCACTTGTGCTGAGAAGCACGCCTCCGTGTCACTCCATCTGCTTTCTCACGGCAGGTCGAGCTACCCATAATAACACAAGAAGCCACTTCCGGCTGTCATTTCCTGTATGAGCTTCCGCACAAAAGGGCTGACGAATGCGGTCCACCCTGCAGCACTGACGCCACAGTGTAATGGAGCACGATGAGCGAGGGCGATGTGTAGACGCCACTGTGAGACAGACACCACTCAGGGTCCTTCAGCTTTGATCCGTGCCCATATTCCTGGTGGGCAGCTGTCTGCTCCTGTCTCCCTATCCTCTCCTTCCCAGCAAATATAGCATCAGAGCTGTCAGCCTCAGACCTCAACAGACAAGGACTCCTTCAGGTGAACCATTTCTTACCCATTACTTCCCCTTTCAGGAATGAACTGTTGCCCAGAAGAACCTCACCCAAGCAGATCAACACACATCTGAATTTTTAAACAACAACGCAAACTGAAATGTGGGGAGAGGATAGTGATCCAGGATCTACAGTAACCTGGCCTTCAGCTCTCTTGAATCCACTCCTCCTCATGGCCCTGCACCAGAGCTGACTCACTTTAGCCACCCGGCACCCTTGGGCCACTTGTCCTGCCTCACATAGGCTCCTGGTCTCCATTTCCACATACCTCCACAGCTTTCACTTGTGCCCTCTAGTTTGTGTCTCACTCTTCATACTGAGAAAATCCACTTTCTTGACTTGTCAGTCCTTCAAAAATTGTGATATTGTTCTCTGGTCAAGACTAAAATTATTCAGTTGTTTTAGCCTTCTGGTGTAGAAAACTCCCTTCAGACTAAAGAGACTCAGTTCCTTCAGCCTGTCAGTGTGGGACACTCCCTTCAGACTAAAGAGACAGTTCCTTCAGCCTGTCAGTGTGGGACATTCCCTTCAGACTAAAGATTCAGTTTCTAGTTTGTCAGTTTAGGACATTCCCTTCAGACTGAAGAGACTCAGTTCCTTCAGTTTGTCAGTGTATTTTATTAAGCCCTGGAATGCTAGAATGTAACTGGTTGCTCTTCACTGGCTTCTCTCATTTCTGATTCCAGACATGCTCTATCTTTTCTGAAAGTACAAAATATTCTAAATGAGACCTTTCTAGTGTGTACAATGTTAACATAGGAAGCCTTTGATTTAAACTATATGTGTTTGACCAGGTATTCCAACATTTTGTTTGTCTTTTTAATTGCTTCCTGACATTATATAATATGTAAATGAATTCTGTACCTAAACACCTAAGTCTTTTTCATTAGTAGCTTCTTCTATCTTGATGTTTCCTATATTCTATTATAGTTTGTGTTCTCACTACTTGCTTCAAAATTCAAGACTGGAAAAACAACTGGCAGAAGGTGATTAATGTAGACAAGTACAGAGTAATACATGTGCATATCAAAAACAAGCTACAGTATAAATACAAACTTAAGTTGATATCTTTTAATGTACTGTATTATGATTTAGGATATTAGTATTTTCTCATCAGGCTTTAAAAATGTGACAACATGAAAATGTGGACCAATATCCTAATGGATAAGCCAGTGACTTCACATTATTGTTATTAGTGTCAGCATGTTGTTCAGTCTCTACTCTCTGTTCGCCCCTGATTCAATTATAGTATCAGCACCAGAACACAGAGGATCAGTCTCTGTTCTCACTCTTAAAGGTCAACATTTAAAGACTCAGCAGCTCCTGACTGGAAACAAAAATGCACTAGAAACTTAGGAAAATGATGATTCTGCAATTGACAATACTGTAGATTCAATATATTTAAGGAACAAACCTACTTTCTGCTGCATGTATGAATATGCTTACAGAAACTATTGCACAACACAAACTCCAAGAACCTCTTGATTGCTCAGAGGCAGTGAGAAACTCGTCAGCGTCCCTCTTTGAGCATGATGGCAGTCCTCATGACCTATTCAATATTTAGATCTGAAAGTGTTTTTAAACTGCTGATTTTCTCTACAGGCTGCGTTGCTTGGTTTGACTCAGTGCAGTGATCTGACACAGTGAGCACTATATAGAAATACATCTGATGCTTTTTCACAGGGACGTACAAAGACAGCACTCAAACACAGCCTCTGCACTGACAGATGAGGGTCTCGGGACAGATAATATCACACTCCAGCAGTTGTGCGGGCTCCGTGTTTACAGGAGGGACGGAGTGTTTGATTTGACAATAAGTGGCAGGAACGTTTTTGGCGTCACCTCTCTGGCACCGCACCAGCTGGCCAGGAGGAGCCAGAGAGTGGAGCGCCCTCCTTGGAGCTGCTGAACTGTCTGCCAACATCATGTCAGGACTGTCATCAGGGCAGCTGGCAGCAGCGCCTCAGGTCCTGCGAACCCCACTCCCCTGACAGGCCCTGTGCTGCTTGAGCTCTGTCATGCAGACAGTACTGAGAATCATGGTGCCTTTGTCTGAGCTGCAGCACCTTCGTGATCGTCTGCTCCAGAGCTGCGACAGAGCAGAGGCCGGTCTCTGGACCAGCGTGGCTCTCGCAGGCTCAGCTACTGAAGTATCAGGCTTTTCACAACCCTGAGCCCCCAACTCCTTGGTCATTCCAATTATTTCAGGAGCTGGAACAATTCAACACTTCTGCCCATCTGAGTCGCACACCTGCTGTTCTGGCACTGCTGTGAAACAACGGCCTAAGAGGGCCTTAAAAGATGAACTGTACTGAGATGAGGCAGTGATTGATCAAGTTAATTCTGAATCTCAGACCAGAGAGCAGCCCCACCTGCTCTGAGACTGTCAGCACCCCATACAGGTGCCACACGGAGGAGAGACGATAACTATTACTGCAGTTATTCAGGAAAAAATACATTCAATATGGATTAAGATTTTCTACCTTGAAAAGCTTGGGGCCACTAATATAATTACTATTTTCTACCTCCTAGATCCTGAATCAACTCAACTGGGCCACCTTACTCCCCATGTGGGCATGGGTAAGAGACGGAGGACTGGCACACTTTACTCCATACTGGCGCACCACGAGCCCTGGTATGGTATGGCACACCTGGACGAGTGACGATCCACCAGCTCCCATCGCTACAGGGGCTCCTGTGCCACGGCAGGGCCACTCTGGCCACCCCAACCTCATAGAGCATGCTGGCCGAAGACATGGCCCAGGCGTCACCTGTCTGCACTGAAGGGCTCAGCCTGGAGAGTGACTGTGACAAGCTCTCCCTCAGTGTTAGGGTGAAACCTGGCCTTGACCCCACTGCGCACCTCGGACAATGACAGGTAACAGCTGCCCACATCCTGAGACGCACTCAGCTGATTCAGCCTCGCTGGAACACAGACCGCCCCCGGCAGCCTGGCCTACTCAGAGCCCAGCCACAGTATTTTGTCTGTTTCTTTCTTTTTCGATCACCTCCTGGAAATGAGAGCCATGTGTTGCAGTCTTTTTCTAAATTTCCTCTTTGTTGCATCATGGGAACTACTCCTAATGATTCACAAAGGTGACTTGAATCGGTGTTTTTCAGATTGAATCATTTGAGATTTTGTTACGGATCGCAGACTACAGACAGCCAATCAGACCGAGCCTGGCTTGAATGAGCTCTGTGTGTCACAGGCTTCTAGAGTGAGCCCTCCATTTCCTCTGTCAGCAGCTCTGGGGAAACAGACCTCTTTTGTAACTGTGGTAAACTAGTCAGTTCTGCTCCAAAGACCTTGTGGGAAATGTGACAAGGTTCCTCTTTTGAAACAGGTGTTCGATCTTGCTCCTTGCCCTGTTCTCAAATCATGGTAACCCTTTAAAATGCTCATTTCTAAAGACACTGAAAAATTTGCTGCTTAGGCTAAATGACTTAATTCCCTCCCTGCAGCAGCTCAGTAGAAGAGCTGACTGAACCGATATTCTATACTGACCAAACACTTTCTCTTGACTAAAGTTTCTGAATATCAGGGACCGGTGAAACGGGTCAATGTGAATCTCCATGATCATTTTTTATGATGCGGTCATAAATCTCTTCTTGGTACAAAAGATTTCACTAACTGCAGGTACCAGGCTTTGGATATTCTGCGGCTGGACACTCTGTAATAAATGACACAGGAGAGGCTCCATATCAGTGTTCTAATCCTCTAACTACACAGCTTCGAGAACAACATCCTCAGCAAGCCACAATAAGAAACACACACAAGCCTTCCGGTCATGGCTGTGACACCCCGCAGCGCAGCAAGTGCCGAAGACCCGAAGACTGATCGCAGGCCGGAGAGCTGGGCCACTGGAAGACACTCAGTCCAGCTCCTAATGCCCAGAATGAGGGTTCACACTCCCGAAGCGCGCTTACCTGGACAATCTGACGGTGCTCTTTCTGTCGCCTTGAGAAGCAGAGGCAAGTCCCCCGGTGGCCTCTGTTCGCCTATCACAGAATGTCAGCGCGGAGCACACTACTGCAAAATTACAGCTCACCCCTGAGTGAGTCACCGTCTTAAAGATCCCCTCCCCTGGGTGTAGGCAGTGCAGCGCAGGGGTGGAGCCTAGCTGAGAGTGGAGGCGGAAAGTTTCTGATCTTCACTTTGCTTTTGTCTCTCTAGAGGGGAAACGTCAACACTGTGTCAAAACGTAAGAGCTTAAACAACACTGCAGAGCCTAAAGAGCAAGAGACATTCCTTCCCCTGTGCCAGCCTAGAATACTGGCCTTACCACCATTGCATTGTTGGCATGGGTGACATGGGCATTGTCATGGTTTGCCCACAGCTGGCATCACACTTCAAAAGGCCCCTCTTTACTTTACCATGATTTCATTGTGCTTTACTACAATTTCCTCTGCTTTTACCAGCATTATCCGGAGCAGCAGACTTTCAGAAAGGGAGACTGCTAGTGGAACTCCCTTGCTCAGAGATGTCAACAATGCAAGTGGAACCCGGAGGGACAGGAGCCTAGAGCCTGGAGCAGGCTTACCTGCCCTCACTGCACAGGGGGTTTTCTTATGCCAAACAACATGTCAACAACAGCCCCCCCAGCTGCTCATGTCTGAAACGCAGTGCTGCTTTCTCAGAGAGACACCCGTTACCTCCTGTACCAGGCGCTTGTGTGGCCCCGAGTACAAGACCAATGCCCTGAGGCCTGCAGTTTCTCAAAGGAAGTGCAACATCCTGTTCAAGCCAGCTTCCCTAAATCTGGACCCTTTTTCTACTCTGTACGACGTGCATTTGCACCGTTTTGCTTTCGCAAGGGACCAAGGAGGGGAAATGTGTGTTTTCTGAGCTGTGACGTTTGCTGTTTGCTTGTTTTTACGGTACACAAGCTAAAAATGAAAGGTAAGCGCTCTCTGCTTTCCCCTTCCAGGCTGACCATCTGATCTAGGTTGACCGTTAGCTTCATGCCCATCTCCCTGTCCCACATTCCGAATGCATGCCCTGACTCCCTCAATTTATGGAAAATCTTAGAGAGGGAATGTTGCTATTGTCAGAGAAGTCAGAAGTCAGAGATCAGAGGTCAGGTCAATCATTTATCATTCATTTCATGGCACAAGCAGACATTTTGGATTTCGCCACTGAATAAGGATTCAGGCAGTATTTGCTGTTTCAGTACAATCATTGAGCTTCGTAAAAGGACTAGTGTTTACACTGTCAAGAAAAAGATATCAGCTTCCCCTCTTGAGCTCAGTAAGAAACTGGAATGCTTTTTTGGTTCTGCTGATGTTCACTTGCACATGTAAACCTAAATGGAAGTGAAATATTCATGTTTATGGGCAGCATATTGTAAGACGTTAAACATTTTGAGAACTGAAGGGAGCCAGAAGATTGAAGGTGAAGAGAACTCTTCAAGCTCTGCAACTGCTCAGCTGCAAGGCTGGCTTTAACGGTGAATGAGTGAGCTGTGTTGTTTACTACCGGCCATTTCTGACCCTTGTGCTTCAGAAAGCTGATGTCCCCACAGCGCTATCTGAGCAACCCACTTCCTCTTGACAATGACAAGGGAAATGGCACTTCGCCGCCTCATTCAGAGAGTTTGAAAATGACCCTGTCTTTACTGAGAAACAGACCTTTTCATTCTTGCATTGTCTGAAAACACAGCTCATCTCGTTCTAAGAAAGGGGAAACTTTATTTTATTTTCTAAAAAACCCAAAATAATTGATGACCTCATCTGTAGGAGGTGTCAGGGAAATTCCAGTTAATTTTTAGCTCTGTTGTAATAATCCTCATGTAATAATAATACTTTCTATTTCTAATAATCTCATTTTATCTGTATTTTAAAGTGCTGCACCAAACCAAGCAGATGAGAACCCTCAATCCATAGGTCTCCATTAAATTGCCAATCTCTACCGATTTTGAACTATTTCATTACAACCAATGAAGCAGAGAGATTTTGCAATTCAGTCATTTAGAGGTCATCTGGGACCAAACTATTCACCTCCAGGGTTAAGAGTTCTCTTAACTGAGAAGATTACTTGCTTAATTGATTGTTAACTTACTTTTATAATGTAAAAAATATTATACAATTTTTATTCTTACACGAAATACTGCTATTTACACTTTTCAATTTAGAAAACTGCTATCACTGTACTTGACAGTTTTCACTTACGATTTCAGAAGCCATTATTTGGTAGCTCTGTGACTAAGGATCTGCACCTGTGGCTGGAAGATTGTCAGTTCAAATCCCACAGCAGTCAGAGGAATCCTACTACGTTGGGCCCCTTAGTAAGGCCTTTAACCCCAACTGCTCCAGGAATGCTGTATAAATGGCTGACCCTGCGCTCTGACCCCAAACTTCTACTCCCCATCTGTGTCCCTCATGGAGAGCAAGCTGGGGTATGAGAAAAAGAAATTCCTAATGCAAGAAATTGTATATGGTCAATAAAATGATCTTATTTTATCTAGTGTTCCCCATCTTCAGAAGCAGGTGTCTCATGAGCCTAGGACTAGAGCTCTTCAGCTCCAGTGTTGAAGTTGGAAGCCCTGTCTGTTCCACAGTCATGTCACTACACAGCACACTGTCCCCCATAGACCATGGGTATATACTTCATCAGTAAATCCTTTCATAACAAGGAGACCAACTGTTTATTTTGCAGGAAGCCAATATAATCTGCACAGTACTGGAAATATTCTCTCAGACCTTAGTCCTCCAAGGTCAACCAGCCATGTTGGAATAGGGATCTACAACACAAGCTCACTCTCAACTGAAGATGGAAAGCAGGGATCCAGACTATTTAATTAATTTACTAGGAGGTTGAAACAAATTAAAACTTCTCAAAGTAGAACTCCTCAAACATGAAACAGCACTACGATTGTGGTTGCTGCACACTGTTAAACATCAACAATTCTCTCTTCTCAAGCCTGCTCCCAAACCTCAACAGCACCCTTTTATCCAAGTAGCCCATGTGCCACTTCCCACATTCCAATCAATCATCCTGATCAAACACAGGTGAGCTCTTCACAAAGGTGAGTTCCCACAGCAGCCTCTAGTGGTGGCTCCTGGTCACTGCTTCTTTCCAAGGCAGTCTACACCCTGCCCTTATAATAGACGTTGGACACATACTGGTCACAAATCTAGACGTCTGCAAATGCAAGAGTTCAAACAATGTAACAAGGTGGCTTGAACAATATATCTTCTGCATTTAGTCCAATAAATCCATCTGAATGAATATGAATTGCTCATAATGAATTGTCTTAATGTCCTTCTCAAAGCTTGTATAGGTGGCTTAAAGTGTCTGTTTTAAAAACACTGTACTTGGCTTTAAAATGTTCCTGCAAAGCAATAAATGTAAGAGACTGCAGTGCTTCATGTAATCAGGGTGTGAATAGTGAGTTCATTTTTACAAACTAGGATCTAGACCTTTGTCTAATGACTTGTTGCTCTCCTGGAATTGTGTAATTGTATAAATTTCCTGTTTTAAATGTTTGTTTATTATTGTGGAAGCAATGAGATAATTTAAATGTGATCTTGTTAAACTAAGCATGAGCAGTGTGTTATTAAGGTTGCACTTTGAAAAAATAAATCCTGAGCCAGAATAAAGCCATGCAGTATGTGTTTATCTGTTCCTTGGTTTTTTGTCTGATGAAAAGCACCTGCTTCAGTATCAGATGGCGGTACAGAAAAAATCCCTGTCCTCTTGGATAACCAGGGTGGCATCAAGTCTCATTATTTTGTTGAGTCCCTGATTCATTCTCACTGCTCAGTAAGAACTGGCAGCAGTGTTTCTCCTGTTGCTGTCTTGACTATAACTGACTAGACACAGTGCTGCTTCACTCCAGTTCTGGTCAGTTTAACAGCACAGCCCCTGTGACTCCCAGCCTTTTCTGCCCCACATGGACTCTGTTTTTCACAATCCTGGTCCAGCTGTCAAAATGAGACAACTTCTTCCTAGTGTTTCACTGGAATCACCCTGACAGTCACACACAGGATCAGGCACAGTTATCTTTTACCTCCCTAAATAAATGACTGCAAACTATCCTACTAATATGGGCCATTACAGTGTAGGTACTGGAGCCCTCTGTTCTAAATGAGATGGTTTCTGTCTTAAATATCACTGACTAGAATCCAAGAGAACTCAGGTGCTTTATCCCATACAACTGAACAGATTGTAGATGTGTAAGAATTTTACATTTAGACCAGAGACAGCTTTTGCATAAATATTGTATTGCAGGTGATATTTATTATCAATAAAAAAGGTTGAATTTACCTGAAATACAGTGATACAGACAGAAAAGTCAGAGAATAAAGCAGAGATCAGAACTTCAGCTTTGTGTATGAATGTCTTAGATAACAATGCACCTCTGATTAAACAAAATAAAAATCTGGTCGATCAAGTGGAAGATTAAAAAAAATAGAACTGTCTGTAATTGCACTGTTAATACAAAGTAGGTTTGAGACATGTCATGAGAGACCTCCCTGTACAGTCCTGTACAATCCTGTCCTGTATGGGACTCTGAACCTGCTGGCTCACTAACAGCACCCCGACTTCTTCTTTGGGGGCTCCTTCAGTGTGACCATGTCATCCTGCCCCTGTTCCTCACGGTCGCTCAGCATCCTGGGGAAGCAAGCACAGACGTACACTCCTGTCAGCGGGTGGGGAGGAGGTGAAGGAGAAACCCCCCCCCCAGCTGTGCCAGAGGCTGTAGAAAGCAGGGGGCCAAGCCTGCTGCCTCCCCGCAGTTCTGCAGTCGAGCCTCCATGTTGTCTGCGCACACACCTCAGCTGAACAGTGAACTAGTACAGCCGTCCCTCTTCACACCACCCTTGTGTACCAGCGGGTTCTCCTCAGGGACAGTGCACCACAGTCCCCCTGTGACCCTCCACCCCAGTCTGAGACTCCCACAAGGACCATAGGACCACTTGAATTCTCCTCTCTGGTGAAACAATCTCATTGCCCAGCCAGACCTGCACTCGACAAAGCGCTCTTGAGCTCCAGCCGGTGTGGCCTGTGACACCCTTCTCTGTGTGGCTGTGAATGTGGTCAGCTGAGGGGCTCAGGGCAGGGCTTACCTGGCCAGAGTCTCCATGGAGCTCGTCACGTTGTAGCCAGAGGCGGCGCTGCACTCCAGGAACTGAATGCTATATTCCTGTGGAGCAAGCCAGGGCCAAACAGAGAGGGTTGCAGAATCAGCACAGTGTTGCTCTAAAAGGTGCACATTTGGTATCTGTGTTTGGCTGAGGAGCCAGTGGGGTGAAGAATCTGTGGAATTATGACTGAATGCCTCTAATTCAGAACCCCCCCTCCCCAAAAAGTAAATGACACACCAGCATGCCACAACAAATGATGTAAAGTCACGCAGCGATGTAAAGGCATGCAGCACCAAGAACAGTCAGAAAGTGATTCCTCTCACCAGAATAAACCTGCAGAATAAAGGTGACACCGGGAAACGCCCCCCGGAGCCTCTGCAGAACATTGTGCAACTGAACTGCAAAGGAAGGAAGCTGCTCTGATACCAGGGCATCACAGAAGGTGCTGACAGCCACCACAACCCAGTCTAATAACCCGATAAAAATATACTGCTGACTGCTGGGAAGTTAGTGTTGGGTAATTTCCTGTGACAATTCGAACAAAAATATTTTTGTCCTCATACTTATTAATTGTCTTTCCTTATTGGTCTAACAACAGCTTCACACTGAGACAAAGATAATTTAAGACCACAGTTACTGCTACTGCAGCCGAAACCACAGGAAAGTTTCACGTTGCTCTGAAGTTGTATTACTTACACTGTCTACTAAAAATAAAAAGGAAGATCTCAGCAGTTTTATTTCTTTTATGGGATTTACATTTAGAGACTTTAATGTTTAGAATACAAAGCAGATGCACTGGGGCCGGACAATTCTGGTCCAGTGGTTGTCACGATATTAGTTCCCCCTCCTTAAGGGTGCTCCAGCCCTATCACTCAAGACTTTATTCTCTGCACCTGTTCCCCATTCCCAGCCCACCTTAAAAGCCAGGCGCTGACGCTCATCCGGGCTCTGCATCTGATTTCCATATCATGCGAGTCCGGGACCTGGAAGCGCCTGGTCCCGTTAAGGTTTTAACCTCCGTTCTCGTTCCCCGTTCCGACCCGGCCTTCGTGGTTTTAATTCCGAGTTCTGATGGATCTCCTGGTTTTGGACTTACCCTTGCGTTTTGGATTTTCCCTAAGGACTACTCTCGGATTGTTTGCCTCGGCCACACCTCCCCCGTGCACCAGCGCACCTTGGACACGCCCCCTGTCTTCAGCCCCGTTTCCCAGCATGACGTTTCCCCAGTGTTTCCCCACTCCGTCGGACTGTGTCGTCCGCATAGGGTCCGGAAAGAACTGTTCGTTACAGTGGTGCCATCACCTACCCTGGCTAGCCGCTCCCCTTCCTGAGGCGGGACTTCCCTTGTAGTGAAGTTGTCACTCTTGTTGCCCAGCAGCAGTATGACAACATTATCTGCGGCTCCTTCCTACAAGAACAAGACCGTTACCATGGCAGCCTCATGGACAGAACCACTCTGGACACACAGTCTCTCAGATGCACATACTGTTGGACCACATACAATGTTGACTCTGGCACATGGAAGAGTCACAGTCTGCACCAGTTGGAAAAATGGAAAAAAGAAAAAAATATTTGCCATTAGATTCAAAAGCTTAGTAAATTGGTCTGTCCAATGAACCCAATAAAGTTCTGGTTTAGATTGTTAATAGCTGTAGACACAACAGCACAGCAGGACAATGATTCGAGACTCCTGCTCAAAATAACTGTCTTCCCAGGCCTATGCTCTCTTCCAGCATAGACTAAATCAGGGTTGTCCGGGGATGTGAGGCCACAGCACAGGTGGATTCAGCTGTCAAACCTCCCAGTGTTGACTCGTACCTGAATGCAGGTTATCCAGTAGCGAACAGTAGCAAAGCTGCGGGCAGAGCCGATGTCATACATGACCACCACTGCGCTGGCCTTGCGCAGGAACTGCTTGGTGATGCTGTGGTACCTATGGCGACAGATGGTGCAGGAGCTCACAGAGAAGTACCTACTTCTTTTTACTTGATGAATGAGAAGCATAAAGTGTCTCCCTTTTGTACATCACAGACTCTTTTACAAGTAAAACACAAAATGCTGCAGGTAATAAATCTGGAGAATGAAGATCAGGAAATCCTGGTTCCTAAATGAAATGTGACAAGTTTTCTGCCTCCTCTATATAAACATGTACAATCAATTGCTATGAAAATTATTTGCTCAAATAAGAGCATTGAAACCTTGAGAATATTTACTGTTTTAGCAGTATGCTGCAATACAATTGACTAAAAATATATTACTTAACAACTAGTTCTAATCCTGTTAGATCCTTTTTCTAATCCTAAACCAATAAGGTATTAATAACATTCCTAACTACTCACTTAGTATATAACTACATAATAACTGCACATGACTGATCTCCAGGCAAGAGTGACACCATTCCTGAGAGTTTTGTACACAAAGAGAACCAGTCACCTCTCCTGTCCAGCAGTGTCCCAGAGCTGCAGATCAATCCGTCGCCCATCCAGGGTGAGTTTCTGGATGCAGCTGTCCATACCTGCACACAAGCACACACATGTGAGCATTGCTCCTTCACCAGAAACACCCCTGGGCAGGCACGAGCAGAGGCGCTGAGGGGTGCTCCAACACTAGCGAAGACACCCTTCACAGGTACCTCTGTGCAGGAAGATGGGCTCAGAAGCTGGGCCGGATCTCTGCCCCGATGAAGAGGACGCCCAGAATACTCACCAATGGTGGCACAGTGGTCTGCGCTGAACACCCCGCTCTGGAACCTCTTCAGGAAGCATGTCTTGCCCACGCTACTATCCCCCACCATAACCACGTTGTAGAGGCGCTCTGGGCCCGAGAGCGGGGGTGTCCATCCGCCTGGGGGGAGACAGGCAAGGCCACGAGGCTCATCACTGGCAGGGATCAAGAGTTGTCTCCCAAATCCCTCTGCCCCTCCCTGTCCTCTTGTATCCAGCCGACCTTCCCTTCCTCTTCTCTCCTCTACACTTCCTCTTTTCACTTGCCCCCATGGCTCTTCGCCTTGCACTGGGACGTTCGTTATTTCCACTTCCTTTCTGCCCCCTCTTCCTTCCCCTTCTTCCAATCCTGTTGGGATGAAGTCCTCCCTTGCAGATTTCACTTCTTTACTCAGTTTGTGGTCTTTTTCCTGGATTACATCCAATCCTTGTCCCATCTCTGTCCCACCCACAGTATGCACCACTCCTTCCTGTCCTGTCTGAGGCGTGCCCACAGTGAGGATCTCCCTCTCCTGTCCTGTCTCAATCACACTCACAGTATGCACCACTCCTTCCTGTCCTGTCTGAGGCGTGCCCACAGTGAGGATCTCCCTCTCCTGTCCTGTCTCAATCACACTCACAGTATGCACCTCTCCTTCCTGTCCTGTCTCAATCACACTCACAGTACGCACCTCTCCTTCCTGTCCTGGCTCAATCACACCCACAGTATGCACCTCTCCTTCCTGACCTGTTTCAGTCATGCTTACAGTGAGAAACTCCCCATCCTGTCCTTCTCCTTCCTGTCCTGTCTCTATCCCACTCACAGTATGCCCTTCTCCTTCCTGTCCTGTTTCAGTCATGCTTACAGTTAGAAACTCCACTTCCTGTCCTGTCTCAATCAGACTCACAGTTTTCCCTTCTCCTTCCTGTCCTGCCTCTGTCCCACCCACAGTATACCCTTCTCCTTCCTGTCCTGCCTCTGTCCCACCCACAGTATACCCTTCTCCTTCCTGTCCTGTCTCTGTCCATTCTACAGTGAGGACCTCCCCTTGAAGTTCCTGTTTCTCCTTGACCTCTTCATGTTCTGATTCTTCTCTCTCTTCTAGTTCCCCTTTTTTCTCTTGTCCATCTTTGACTTTCTCCCAGTGCAGTTCTAGAACAGTTCCTGTCTCAGCTGATATCTCTCTTCCTTTCTCTGCCAGAGACTTTTTGTCTTTCTCAAGCCCTGATTCTCTCCATTCATCCCTTCTTACCTTCCCTTCCTGGTTCTCCTCTTCACCCATCTCCTGCTCTTTCTGTTTAGTTACCTTTTTTCCCTGTTCTTCAGTCCAGCCAGTTTCTCTCTCCACCTTATTTTCAGTTTCCTCCTTGCTATATCTGATACTCGCTTCATCTAGGAATTCTTGCTCTACTATTTTCTGTTCTATTCCATTCTCCCTCAGTATCTCCTCTTGCAACAGACTGACTGTGACTGCAGTCCTCCCAGCTTTCTCTCCCTGGTTCTCATCTCTGATATTCTCTTCTTTCTCGGAAGTTGTCTCTCCCTCTGCTATTACCCATTCCTTCACTGTTTGTACATCATTTGTCCCTTTCATAACCTCTGCTATCTCTTCAAATTCCTTCTTAATATCTTCTTCATGTCCTTCTGTTACCTGTTCATATTCATGCATGTCTCCCAGCAAATCCATAACTTTGTCCTGTTTGTCCACAAATGTCTTCATTTCCTCTTCTTGTTCTTGGACTCTGTCTTTCAGTTCGACTTCCTCTGGTAACATATTTTGACCAAGACCCTCCTCCTCCTCTCCTCGTTGACACTCATCTCCTGAGATTGGCTCCTTTTTCTGGGATTCTTGTTCTACCCATTCTGCTCCCATCTCTTCCCCATCCTGTCCTTTTTCCAAGTCTCTTCCCTCTTCCTTTTCCTGACTTGTCACTTTCACTTTCAAGTCCTCCTCCCATTTATACTCACTGTCTTCTTCTGTTCCTGCTTCTCTGACTGACATCCATTTCTCTTCCCTTACTATGGTTTCCTCTCCAGCATCTTTCTCTGTTTGTTCTTTTTCTTGCTCTTGTGTCCCTGTTATTTTTTGTTTTGATTTCTCATTTTTCTCTCTCTCTTCCACTCTTATCCTCTCTCTTTCTGTTTCATCCTCTTTCAGGATGTCCTCTTCCACATCTGGGTGTTTCACTTTTTGGGTTGGGTCGTTCTCCATTGCAATCTCCTCACATCCTGTTTCCTCTACTGTGTCATCTAGCTTCCTCTCTACTGGATCAGATAATCCTTCCTCTTTTAGAAGACCTCCCTTGATTTCCTCATCTCTGCTGTAATCATCGTCTTGGAGATAGTGTGCTGAAGAACCTGCTTCTTCAATCTGTGCTAGAGATACCACATGCTGGTCTTCTAGTCTTGGTTTGTCTGTCTCTGACTTCACTGTAAGGTCCAGCTTTTCCTGTCTCTCCTTTTCCTTCTCTTTTTGATTACCATTTTGCTGTTGCTCTTCATCCATGTACTCGTTCAACATGTCATCTTCCTCCTCCTCATATCTATATTTAGCATTCCTCTTCTCCTGCTCTGTGTCCTCCATTGTGTCAATGGGGGACACTCCCTCCCTCAGCATCTCCTCCCCTTGTTGAAGTGTTCTAACATGAATCCTTAAAGAGTACTGGTCTAGTAGCTTCTCCATCATTCCTTCCAATTGTTTTTCCTCCTCTCCCTGTTGCGTCTCTTGTTCCATGTGAGATATTGCTCCTTTATTCTGGCCTATAACACTAGCTCCTGCTGCATGCTGTTCTATCCCCTGAGCTGTGCCCAGCAGTTTGGCTCTTACTTTCGCTGCCTCCTGCTTGATCACTGGTTCTACGCTAGGATCTTGGAATTCATCATTTTCTTTTATGATCTCCAATTCTTGAGTCTGTTCTTCTCCTGCTTTCCCCACCCAGTCATCAGATGAGCCCACTGTAGCTTGTGTGATTTCCTGGACTCCCTCCCCTAAGCCTTCCTTTCTCAGTTCAAACTGCTGTCCTTTCTCTCCAACACATCCGACCCCTAGATCCATACCCCTGTCTTCTTCTACCACTGTCTCCTCTTCCCGTTTATGGAGTTCTTCTCCTGCTCTCTCTGCCAGCTCTCTTCCTCTATTCTCTTGTGTTTCTATCTCTCTTCCTCCTACCTCTTTCATTTCAATTTCTGCTATCTCTTTGTCTCCCCCTTCTCCTCCAGCTGTATTGGGTTTCTCTTCCTCTCGTACAGCAACCTCGCTGTCTTCTCCTTTCTCTTGATCTCTCTTAATTTCTTTTTCTGTTTCTTCAAGCTCTACATTCACTTCCTGATTCATCTCCATCCACCCAGTGACCTTGTGGTATCCTGTCACCACTTGCTCCTTGCTTTGTGTCACTTCTTCTCTCAGCTTCTTTTCCTCCTCCAAGAGTAAAGCATTAGCTTGGAAAACGTCTACTTCTGCAATTAATTCTATGACATCCTCACATTTACTTGCCCCTTCTTCCTCCTCAGTTATTACAATGCTCTCTTTAACACCTTCCTCTTGGCATTTTTTGCCCATCTTCTCTTCTCCAATGCTTTCTTCTGCTCCATCTAGTTGCTTTTCTTCTCCTTGTACTTGTGCTTTTGGTACTAATGCTTCTTTTATTTCTCCCACTTGTCGCATTTTTCCGGATCCTCCATCTTTCCCCTCCTCTGTGCTCCTCAGTTCTTGTTTGACTTCCTTTACTTTTGCTTCATCTCTACCTTCCTCTGCTTGTTTATTTGTAGCTATCCCATCCTCCCCCACAAAATCTACCTGCTCCACTCTCTTTCCCTCTGCCTTACCTGATACCATCTCATCTTTCACTTGGATGTCTCCTTCCACTTCAAGGACTGTGTCTCTATCTCTTCTCTCTGTAGTTTCTCCTTCTCCTCCAGTTTCTCCCTCTTTCTTCATTTCTCCTTTTCCTTCCTCACCTGATGCTCCTGGATTTGTTTGGTTTTCTGACACAATTTCTGACTCTCTTAGGATTTTGTCTTCGTCTTGACTGTTCATTATCTCCATGCTTTTCTCTTCTGCCATGTGTTCTGGGGCCCCATCATGTTCTGTGTCATCTCCATGATTTCCCTGCTCTTTACCTTCTCCTTTCAACACAGCTTCCACCTCTCTCTGATGCACAACTCCTCCATCCTGCTCAGTTTCCTGCTGCATCAGTCCTTCCCTTCTTCTTCCTTCGCCTTCTTCCTCTTCCTCTGTGAGATATTTCTCCTGGAGGTTGTCACCTGCCTGACCTCCCAGGGTCTCTTGATCATCTCTAAGGTGTTCCATTGCTCTTGCAGCTTTCACTTCATCCTGATGTGTCTCCTCTTTCTCCTGGAATACACTCCTGTGCTTCTCTTCTTTCATCTCTACCAGTTGATCAGGATGGTCCTCCTCGTTCATTAACAGTGGTGGTCTTTCATTTTTAATTTCTTCCTCTTCATTTTGCTCATTTACTTCATCAGCTTCTCCAGAAACCTTCTGGTCCTGGACTTTTTCCTCAACCTCCTCTTTTGTTACTGTCCTTTGCAATGTTGTTCCTTCTATGTCTTTGTCCTCTGTCCTCCCTCTGTTCTCCTGCTGTGGAAGATCTGTCCATGATATTTCCATTTCTATCTCCATTTCCCCCAGTTCCTCATTTTCCTGGTTGTTATTCTCTTGGCTTATACCTTCAGCTATCCCAGGCACATCTTTCTGTGATCTGACATCTTCGATCTCCTCTGCTTGTCCCTGTTCTTCAGCTCCCTTGTTAGTGTTTTCATCTTCTTTCTCTTCAGTCTCTCCCACTTCTCCTTCAGTGCCCGAAACGAAAACTCTTGTTTCTGTCCTTCTTGTTCCGAAGAGTGTCTCCTCCTCCTCTAGTTCCAGGGATGGTATCTCACACCCTTGGTTAAAGTCTTCCACTCCCTGCTCTGTAGATGTCTCCCCCTTGTCCTGTGCTTCCAAAGGCTCCTCTACTTCCTTCTGTGCCTCTGGTTTCCACATTGAAATGTCCACCACTGTTCCTGGGATCTGTGCAGACAGGCTGCTTGCCTCCATCTGCTCTTTCTTTGAAGATTCAGACACCCTTTCCCCTTCTTCTGCATGAAAGTCCTCGTTGTGCAAGTCCTGCTCCTTAAAATCTGTGTTATATTCCTCTCCCTGCACATCTCTCAGAATTGCTGTTCTTTCTTCGTGTCCCCTGAGCTCTTCATTCTTTATCTTCTCTTCTCTTCCTTCATTTTCATTCTCTCTTTCCTCTCTCCTTCTTACAGTCCCTCTTTTCAGTTCCTCTTCCTCCAGCCTGGGTTTCTGATTGTCCAATCGATCCTCTTCTTCCTCAGCTGTATCACATCTTCCTTCTGCTGCAGTGCTGTCCCTTCCCTGCAGCGATTCCATGTTTTGGTCCTCACCATAATCCAATTTGCAGGCTTCTCCTTTCAACACAGCTTCCACCTCTCTCTGATGCACAACTCCTCCATCCTGCTCAGTTTCCTGCTCCATCAGTCCTTCCCTTCTTTCTCCTTTATCTTCTTCCTCTTCCTCTGTGAGATATTTCTCCTGGAGGATGTCACCTGCCTGACCTCCCAGGGCCTCCTGATCATCTTTAAGGTCTTCCTTTGCTCTTGCAGCTTTCACTTCATCCTGATGTGTCTCCTCTTTCTCCTGGAATACACTCCTGTGCTCCTCTTCTTTCATCTCTTCCAGTAGTTCAGCATGGTCCTCCTCATTCTTTACCAGTGGTGGTCTTTCATGTTTAATTCCATCCTCTTCTTTTCGCCAATGTACCTCATCACCCCCTTCAGAACCATTCTGGTCCTGGAATTTTTCATCAGTCTCCTTATTTGTTACCATCCCTTCCTGTGTTAGTTCTCCCATGTCTTTGTCCTCTGTTCTCCCTCTGTCCTCCTGTTGTGGAAGATCTGTTCTTGATATTTCCATTTCTATCTGCATTACTCCAAGGTCCTCATTTTCCAGCTGGTTGTTCTCTTGGCTTTCAACCTCAGCTATCCCACGCCCATCTTTCTGAGATCTGGCGTCTTCGATCTCCTTTGCTTGTCCCTGTTCTTCAGTTCCTGTGTTTGTATTTTCATCTTCTTTATCCTGTGTTTCTCCGACTTTTCCTTCTGTGCCCAAAACAAAAACTCTTGTTTCTGTTCTTCTTGTTCCAAAGAGTGTCTCCACCTCCTCTAGTTCCAGGGATGGTATCTCACAGCCTTGGTTAAAGTCTTCCACTCCCTGCTCTGTAGATGTCTCCCCCTTGTCCTGTGTTTCCAAAGGCTCCTCTACTTCCTTCTGTGCCTCTGGTTTCCACATTGAAATGTCCACCACTGTTCCTAGGATCTGTGCAGACAGGCTGCTTGCCTCCATCTGCTCTTCCTTTGAAGATTCAGACACCCTTTCCCCTTCCTCTGCATGAAAGTCTTCGTTGTGCAAGTCCTGCTCCTTAAAATCTGTGTTATATTCCTCTCCCTGCACATCTCTCAGAATTGCTGCTCTTCCTTCGTGTCCCCTGAGCTCTTCATTCTTTATCTTCTCTTCTCTTTCTTCATTTTCACTCTCTTTTTCCTCTCTTCTTCTTACAGTCCCTCCTTTCAATTCCTCTTCCTTCAGTCTGGTTTTCTGATTGTCCAATCGATCATCTTCTTCCTCAGCTGTATCACAGCTTCCTTCTGCTACAGTGCTATCCCTTCCCTGCAGCAATTCCATGTTTTGGTCCTCACCATAATCCAGTTTGCAGGCTTCTCCTTTCAACACAGCTTCCACCTCTCTCTGATACTCAACTCCTCCATCCTGCTCAGTTTCCTGCTCCATCAGTCCTTTCCTTCTTCCTCCTTCACCTTCTTCCTCTTCCTCTGTGAGATATTTCTCCTGGAGGATGTCACCTGCCTGACCTCCCAGGGCCTCCTGATCATCTCTAAGGTTTTCCTTTGCACTTGGAGTTTTCACTTCATCCTGATGTGTCTCATTTTTCTCCCGGAATACACTCCTGTGCTTCTCTTCTTTTATCTCTACCAGTAGTTCAGGATGGTCCTCCTCGTTCTTTACCAGTGGTCTTTCATTTTTAATTCCTTCCTCTTCTTTTTGCTCATTTACTTCATCAGCTTCTCCAGAAGCCTTCTGGTCCTGGACTTTTTCCTCAAGCTCCTCCTTTGTTACGGTCTTTTCCAATGTTGTTCCTTCTATGTCTTTGTCCTCTGTCCTCCCTCTGTTCTCCTGCTGTGGAAGATCTGTCCATGATATTTCCATTTCTATCTCCATTTCCCCCAGTTCCTCATTTTCCTGGTTGTTATTCTCTTTGCTTTCAACCTCAGTTATTCCAGGCCCATCTTTCTGTGATTTGACGTATTTGATCTCCTCTGCTTGTACCTGTTCTTCAGTTTCAGTGTTTGTATTTTCATCTTGTTTATCCTCTGTTTCTCCCACTTCTCCTTCAGTGCCCAAAAACAG